CCGTCCGCCACCTGCCGCTGGCTGCTGTGGGAAGGATATTCTGTCATGTTTTTGATGCATTAAAGAAGCTAACTTTCTGTTTCTGGTTCACAAACATCGACCAAATAATCCCTCTCCCCGGGCGGTACGTCTCTTCCTGCCTGCGTGTGTCCAGCGTGAATAAAATACCCGAGAGACAGGGAAATCCACAGGACTGGACAGGAGCTCCGTCAGAAAGGTGCGGGGAGAGCAAACCGGGGGGATTTCCGAAAGACGCCGCTTCCAAGTCCCGAGACGAGAAAGGGCAGTGGACGGACACGCATGTACTGGAGGCATTCTCCCCTCCCAAGTAGAACAGCGAGACAGGTATAAAAAAAAGAAAAAAAGGTGATGGTGAGACGCGGCTATAAATAAATGAGATGATGTGCCTTTTGCACGTCAATCTTTTCTCAGCAGTTTGGCCACCTTCCTCAAAAGGTGTAGTTGTGCGTGTGCGTGTGTGCGCGTGCGTGTGCGTGTGTGTGTGTGTGTGCATGCGTGTGTGTGTGTGTGTGTGAGGCAGCGTTACCTGCAATCACTCCTAAAGACCCACCCGGTCCCCTTGCAAGGAGGTTGAGGGTCGGAGCCGCAAACAGGAAGACCATTGTCCTAAACGATCATTTCAGCCTCATGACCTCACAGCCAGGCTGCTCCTTAAACAAGCAAGGCATGGGGTACCCTGTGTATTTCCACCAGACCCGACTACAGACTAAGTGCTATGTCTACCTTTTCTCACCGTGGAGAGTGAGCCAACACACACTTTGGCAATAACCGTCAGTCTAAGGACAGGGTCTGGTTTCTCAGGACTGAATGGGCCTTTTTAAAAAATATATATTTTTATTGATTTCACAGCGGAAGGGAGAGAGACAGAAACATCAATGATGAGAGAGAATCATTGATCGGCTGCCTCCTGCACGCCCCGCAGTGGGGATGGAGCCCGAAACCCGGGACCAGAAATGAGCCCTGACCGCCTGGGTGATAGGTGGGCCGGGCTGCGACCAGCCTCGGACAGTCCTGGGAGGAACAAGCCAGCAGAACCGGGATGGGGAGGGGGGGCCCTAACCATGTTACCATTTGGTCGAACTTGGACATGTTGGGACGTCCTAATGCCTTAGTCCAAGGTGCACACGACAAGCAAGTCCTCCTCAATGCAGACCCTTCTCCAGCGGCACCCCTGCCCTCCTAGCCACCCCCTCCGTTATTATTTCTAGGGCAAATCAGACCCGTGCTCCCCAAAGCCCCCAGGCGACCGCCCGCATTTCAGCACCAGCATCGGGGACAGACGCCACAGGGAGGTGGGCAACCCTCGTCTTGTCGCCCCTGGAACCGCTTGGAGGCCGGTGTCCCAGGGGATAGGAAACAACGGAACCCCGGCTGGCGCTCCCCAAAGCATTTTCCTGGTAACATGGCCAACGGGCCGCCCCCCTGTCCGGGGCCGTCCTGTGCGTGGGGCCAGAGGCGACCCCCGGGAGAGCAGCGCCCGCCCCGACCCCCA